GATATTTCTTTTCTTGTTCATTAGCTGCAATCTTGTCTTCGAGGTCTGAAATTCTATATTTACTTTCATTGAGGCAGTTTTGCCAACTTTCAATGGAATTTTTTTTATTTCCTGTATATCTTTTTGAATCTGCTTCATGCATTCTGTTTGTTTCTTATATTGTTCATCCAGGGATTCTATCTTTTTGCATTGTTCCTCTAATTTTTTAACTGTGTCTTCTTTAGATATGTTCAGCATTTCTTTCATTACTTTCTTTTTCTTTTACATTTCTTCTTTTACCTGGGAGATTATTTCTAATTTGGGTTCCTTTATTGCTTCTCAGAGTTGCATCTTTATTTCACTTGCCATCATTTCAGGTATATCAGGTGTACGGCTTATATTTTCTCCCAAGTACATGACTCCTAGGCTTTCTTGGGATGGGCTGAAGGTTTGAGATGGCATTTTGGTCTTTCCTCTTGTCATTTTCCTGTATTTTGTGTTTCTAGCAATGTTCCAAATCTTCCCCTGAATGTGTTGGAAATTGTCTCCTATGCCCTCAGCTTCTGGGACTGAATGGAGGTTACTGAGCATGGCGCAGTCAGGCCCACAGGACCTTTCATGCCACTTCCAGTGTCGCAGGAATTGGGTGGGTTCCTAACTGCTGGGGGTGATGGCCCAAAGCTCTCCCTAGGCTCGCACCAACACATTGGAACTCACCTCACATGCCCTTAGCTCCACTGATTGAAGGAAGGTTACTGGGCGTGGTCCAGTTAGGCCTGAGAAACCTCCTGAGCCTAGTCCAGTGTTTCTGGAAGCTGGGTGGGCACTTAACCGCTAGGAATAATGGTCTTAAACTCTTCCCAGGCCAGTGCCATGCGCTGGAACTCACCTCCAGTTTTCAGTTTTTGTCTATTTAATAAGATGTTAGCTGCTTGTTTATCTTGGCTTTAATCATATTGAGGTAAAGACTTCTATTCTGATTTTCCATAGGGTTTTTATCATGAATGAGTGTTGGATTTTTGTCAAAAGCTTTTCCTGCATCTATTGAGATGATCATGTGATTCTTGTCCTTGGCTCTGTTAATATGGTGTATTATGTTTACTGATATGCATATGTTGAATCATCCCTCCATCCTGGGATGAATTCCACTTCATCATTATGTATAATCTTCTTGATCATTTGCTGCATTCTGTTTGCCAATATTTTATTGAGAATTTTTGCATCTATGTTCCTAGGGAGCTGGGACTATAATTCTCATTTTTGTTTGGTTCTTTCTCTAGTTTTTGTATTAGGGTAATACTTGCTTCCATGAATGAATTAGGGAGACTTGATTGCTTCCCAATTTCATTGAAGAGTTTAAGGAGTGTTGACATTAAGTCTTTAATTTTTTGTAGAATTAGCAGTGAATCCATCAGGACCTGGGCTTTTCTTTGTTAATAATTTTCTAATTACATTTTCAATTTTATTAACTGAAATTGGGTTATTCAGCAGTTTTACATCTCAATATAAGTTTGTTAATTCATATGTTTCTAAGACTCTGTCCATTTCTTCTGTGTTATTGAAGCTATAAGAGTAAAGGTTTTAGAAGTAGACATGATGATTTTCTGTATATCCACAGGGTTTGTAATGATTTACCCCTTTCATTTCTTATTCCATGGATTTGAGTTTTTTATTTCCTCTTTTTGATAAGGTTGGCTAAGGGGTTATCAATTTTATTTATTTTTTCCACGAACCAACTCTTCCATTCATTAATTTTTTGTATTGTTTTCTTAGTTTCAGTTGTGTTGATTTCTGCTCTGACCTTTGTAATTTCCTCCCTTCTTTAGGTTTTGGGTTTGACTTGCTCTTCTTTTGCTAGGTGCAGCTTTAGGTTGTCTATTTGTGTTCATACAATTTTTCTAATGTGGGGGTTTACCACTATAAATTTTCCACTGAGAACTGTTTTCATTGTATCCCACAGGTTCCAATAAGTTGTACTTACATCTTGTTTCATTTATACATATTGTTAATTTCTTTAATTTCTTCTGTGACCCATTGGTCATTTAGAAAGTATTATTTAATTGCCATGTGCTTATGCAGTTCTTGTGGGTTTTTGTGTCATTAATCGCCTATTTTATTGCATTATGGTCAGATAATATGCGTGAAACTATTTCAACTCCTTTGCATTTATTTAAGCATGTTCTGTGGGTCTATTTTAGGGAATGACCTCTGTGCAGCCAAGAAAAATGTGTATTATGATGTTGTTGGGTGAAACACTCTGTACACATATACTAGGTCCATTTTTTCACAATTGTGATTCAGTACTGTTATTTCTTGCTGATTTTTTGTTTGACTCATCTGTCCCTTTGTGACAATGGAATATTAAGATCCATTGTTATAACTGTATTATTGTTTATTTGATTTTTCATGTCTATTAAGATTTGTCTTACATAGTTTTGTGCTCCCATATTTGGTACATATGTATTTATTATTGTAATCTCTTCCTCTTGAAGTTTTCTCCTAACAAGTATATAGTGGAACTTCATCTGTTTTTATCATTCTTGGCTTGAAGTTCATGATATGTGCAAACAGAATGACTACCCCCACTTTTTTCTGGGTTCCTGTCACATAGAGTACTGTTTTCTATCCTTTGACTTTTAGTATGTGAATTTCTTTTTGAGCTAATTGTGTTTCTTGTATACGGCATATTATTGGATTGTTTGTTAATCCACTCTCTCATTGTATTTCTTTTTATTGGTTATTTGAAGCCATTTACATTTGACGTAACATGTGTACTTACTTATATTTGACATGTTATCATTTCCGTTGTTCACATTTTCTCTCTGTTTAAGTGTTTACCCTGCTTGGTGATTTCCTTCTGCTGTTCTTCTTGGAATTATAGCCATCATTATCTCTTTCTAGAGTATCTTTCAGTACCCTTTGTGGTGTTAGTTTGATGATTATGAATTTCTCCAGTTGTTCCTTGTCATAGAAGTACCTTATTTCTCCATCAATTTTGAAAGATGGTTTTTCAGAGTATATCAATCTTGGTTGGAAGTTGTTTACTTCCAGGACTTGAAATGCTTCACTCAAAACTCTTCTTGACTTGAATGCTTATATTGTGAAGTCTGCCATGATTATGATAGGTTTTCCTTCATAGGTGATCTATTTCTTCTGTCTGAGAGCTTTTAGTATTCTGTTAGTGTGCTGAATTTCTGAGATCTTAATTATTATATGTCTGGGTGAAGATTTATTTTGGTTATGGTTAACTGGGGTTCTATATGCCTCACTTATCTAGATATCAGATTCTTTTCCCATGCTTGGAAAATTTTCTGTTCTTTCTGTAAATAGTCTTATGTCATTTGTGTTGACTACTGCTTTTTCATTGACATCTATCATTCTTATATTGTTTCTCTTTGCATCATCTTGAAGCTGTTGAATTGTTGTTTCCTGGTTCCTTGTTGTTTTTATGAGATCTTTTCTTTCATAATCATTAGTTTCCATCCTGTCTTTAAGGTCTGAAAGTCTATCTTCAGCTTCATTCAAATAGTTTTGTCAGCTTTCAATGGAATTTTTAATTTCCTGAATATCCCTTTGAATCTGTTTCATGCATTCTAATTCTATCTCCTATTGTTCATTCAAGTTTTCCATAAATTTCTTATACTGCTCTATATCTTCTTTAGATATACTCAACTTTCTTTCATGTTTATCATTTTTTTTACCTGAGATATTATTTGTTACTTGATTTTCTCTTTGGCTTCATGGAATTGTTTCCTTACTTCAGTTTCTATCATTTCAGAAAGTTCAGTTGTGTGATTCCCAGTGTCTTCCATTTCAATGTTTCTTGGGTTTGTTCTCCATGGGCTGGAGGACTGAGACTACATGTTGCTCTTTCATTTTGTCATTTTCCTGTGGGATATGTCCGGCTGGCCTGGCACCCTCCTGATGGATTGCAGTGGGACGCTGGGCTAGGCAGAACTTCAGTTCTCCAAAACCCACATGGCTATCTGGGGTGCATTCCCTGAACTATGGTGCTGGGTCCTTGCCCTGTGATGAGCAGAGCTCAAAGTCTCCAGGACCCATTGGCTAGGATGGTTGCTCCCTGATGGATGGCTCTGGGGTTCTGGGCTGGGCAGAGCTCAATACTTCTAGGATCTGTGTTCCTAGCTAAGCATGCCCCTGATGAATTTCACTTGCATGCTGGGCTAAGAGCTCTGATCCCCCAGGACCCATGCATCTAGCAGTGATGTGCCCCTGGGGTGTGGCACTAGGGCCTTGCACCTGATTGGGTGGAGGTGAGAGCCTCCAGGAACCACACAACTAGCCATGGTGCACCCCCAAACTACGGTGTCTGGGCCTTGTTGCCTGGCTGGGTGGAGCTTAGAATCCCCAGGTTAAAGTTCCTATAAATTCACACTTGTGAACGTTACTGTAAAATTAGAAACTGTATTACTATTGATTAATCTTGGGAGATTTTTTACATTTCACATAGGAACAATCACTTTCATTATCTAAAGGAGAAAGTAAAAATGATCACTTAGGGAATTTAAAATACATCTTGATAAAAAACTGACCTTGGGAGTGGAGAGGTATGAATGCTTTGAAATAATGATCTCATTTTAAAAGTATTTCAAATAGGATTTAATGGACTGTGAAGCTATGATTTTAAATTAATGAGTGTACCTAGTAAAAAGCTTTGCACTGATAAAGAATATGAAAGGTCAACTGAAATATAATTTTCCTAATAGTTTAAGTATCTTACTTATTAATATGTCAATTATTTTGACAGATTTTGGTAGGAGAATGGAAGCAAAGAAATGTGTACTTTAGCATCTTTTACCATATCATTATAAATCATTTTCCAGTTGCTCACACATATGCTACCAATGATGGATCACACAGTCAAAATGTATGCATCATCCAGGCTTCCAGAAAATTTTGACTAAATGTTTTTAAGTCACAGTTATATGCCCAATACTCCATCTTGATTTGATCTGTCAAAACCTTGAAAGTCATTACCCAAGAAGGAAAGACAGAACACATCTGGTCAATCAGCTTTATTTTTAATTACCCAAGTGTGTACTGACCTTTGTATCTAGATATAATGGAAGATATGATAGATAGACAAAGATAAGATTACTGATCTTAAAAAAAAAATTAAAGTCAGCTTTGGGGCACTGCACAAGATAGCAAGACCTATGGATATATACTGAGTAGCATTTGAGCAGCACAAGAAAATTTAGTACACAGTAAGCATACACATAGGACATTATGGACAACTATGACGAGGGATAGAGGAAGACAATTGGAGAACACATCCCAGGAGATTATAGGAAATGGGAAAAGCATTAAATGTGTGTCTTAGTTGTCTGTATAGCAGTGGCTTATTGTTGACCTTGACTGATTAAGTTGCACCTCTGTGGGATTCATTTTACTCAACTCTAAAACAGGAAGTAAAATCCAGATGGTATCTAAGATCTTCCAGCTATAACAATACAGAATTATAAGGACAAATGCAGAGAATCTGAGAAGTTGAGCACAAGCACAAAGTCACAGAAATGGGAGAAAATTAGCTGTGTGAGTAGGTAAGATCTGCTATGGGAAAGCAAGGACTTTAGGCTTATTTATTCTAAACATTCTAAGGTCAGAAATTGGAAATGGGTGAGATAGAGCACTAAATTAGGTAAGGAATACTAGCCAGGGTTCGAAACAGTGAAAGCAATACTGTGCTTCCTGTGGTCTGACTTATCCTCATGCTTCCTGCTGTGTTCTTTATGTGGTCATGGAATTTCACGGCACCCCTTCTACAAACCCACATCCCAGAGTAAAGAGAGGGGGTAGTTACAGATGGATTCTCTTTAGATCCTCAAAAGTAGCCCCCTTTTTTGGGCCAGGAAGCCAAGTGCTACTGCTGAAACAACAGTGGTCAATCCAATCAGCCTCAGCAGACCTGGCACGGAGGGCAAATGTCTCTCCAAGAAGGTCGTGGTGATGGGCTGCGCAGGAACATCCTGGATTGAGAGAACACTGGGTATTAGCATAGGGCTCATGCGTTTCATTCCAGAAAATCTGTACTTTGTCTAGTTTTCTGAGAGTGACTCCCGTTTATACCTCTAGACCATTCAACATGATGTGAAAATACAGTTGTGTTTTACTAGAATGGCCCAAGCAAAACATGTGTCATAAATATTTATTAAGTGCACCCCCTCCCAAGCCCACAATCCCTTCTCTAGCAAAAGCACTAGGAGAATGACTTTGGAGTTTTTGGGCTTGGTCTCTTTGACTTCACATTTAAAGGGCTAGAAAAATAACTTTTCTTTCTTCACTCTGTCTTCTATGCATCCTTCTTTCTAGCCAGGAAAACTCCCTGTGTTATATTACAAATAGGATAAGTATATTGAAAATGAATTTTTAATCTAAATATATTCCATCCCTTTGACCCTGGACAGAAGATAATATACTTTCATTCTATTCCTACTTCCAGTTAAGAATCATCACGTCAGATACTTATGCAATAGACGTTTATTAAGTTTTTTTAAGTTATTGTTTTTTTCTTTTTTGAGACATGTCTCTTAATGTAGTTCAGGCTGGCCTGGTCTCACTATATAGCCCAGGCTGGCCTTGAACTCACAGCAGATATTTATTGAGTTAAAGTTTTATTTCATTTTTGTTTCTTTTTGCAGTGCTAAGAATTCAACCCAAGGCCTCGTACACGATAAGCACATGCTGTATCCTGAGCTACACTCCTAACCCCTACTGAGTTCTTAATATTCAGAACTCTGAGAAATCCCTCCTCCATAAAGAAATCTTATTTTCCCTAATAATCTGCAATTAATGGCAGCTTCCAATTTATCATTTGAATCTCTTACTTCTGTCCTACTCATGATACCTATTTAAACATTCAAGAGCTGGATCACTTAGGGAAAGTGTATAAATGTGGCTATATACAAGTGTGTACTTCTTGGACATAATTGTTCTCAGAGGAAAGACATTTAAATTTATAAAATATAATGTACCACAGACTCTGGTTCTGGCTGCCAGATTTCATCTTCTGGAATCTTCCCTATGGCATTCAAGACCTGAAATGAAAGAGCGCTTTTAGTGAATAGTAAAACTGACATCTTTCTCTTAGTCTGCTTTTTAAAACAAAGAACTAAGCGAATGTCTCTTGAAATAGCAATCAAAAACACCAAGATAAAGGCCAAAGCAGTACACTTAACCTTTAGAAGTCTCTAAAAGGTCTTTCATCTATAGTATAAGACATTCTGACCATCAGTCTCAAGGTAAATTTTAGTAGTTGGGAACAGGTTTTAATGTTAATGAGATTAGAGGAGTTGTCAAGAAACATAAAAATGAATTTTCTGGATCACAATGGAAACACGTTTGATTCTGTGACAGACCTAAGTTATCTTTCAAATATAACCTCATGGGTTTTTCTGTAACCTCAGGCAATATGTTAAATGTTTTTGTTGTTACTTTTGGGTTAAGGCATTCCTTGACCTAAAACTGTTGTTATAATGGAGTTTCATGGATCTTCAGGTGGCGGCTACTGGGAAGATGGTCACAGCGTAGCAGAAAATACCCCCTTCCCATTGCTCAAGTAACCTCTTTACTTTAGTTTCTCTTACAGCTCCTGTTAATTCCGTTTCCTAGAAATGGCTGATTACTATAATTCACATTGCATGAATCAATCCCCAATTAACAAGCACTCTGCCTCTGTGCTTCCACTTTGCTATCCCATAAAAACATCCCTCCCTGAGCCTTTGGGGCCTGATACTTTGGGAATAAATCTCTGTCAAGGTAAATAAATATGTCTCCAAATCCTGGGTGACTTTTCAGTGTTTCTGTTTACTGCTGCAACAGGATCTCAGACATATCGGTCTGCTTTTCAGGCCCATGTGTTGTCTCCTTCTCCACAGTCATTGACGCAGGGCCTTACCTCTCTGGCAGCTCTCTCTCCAGCCTCTACAGCACCCTCCATGTAGCCACTCCAGTGAGTGGCAGTCTCAGTACCTGCAAAAAAAATCCTGCCCACTGGCTGACGTAGAAACCTGAGAACAAAAGCAATAAATAAAACTCACAGACAATTGGAGATGAGTATCCCTACAAGGACTAGGGCTTGTTTCTTCAAGTTCAAAGCTCCAAGAGGGACATACAATTTTTTAAAAAAATGTTCATTAGGTTCCTCCAGCTTATGCCTAATCTCAGTCACAAACAAAATGGAACAAAGACCAAAGTTCACTGCTGCACAAAGAGCTTACATCGAAGTGTTGTTGAACTGACAATGATGAAGGCAAGATACATATTTATTCTTTGATCTTTTCAAGAATTCCATGACATAGCTATCACTATTAATCTCTTTTCACACATGAGGAAACTGAAGCTGGGAGAAATGTTCAGGGACTCACCAAAAGCTATACTGCTACAGAATAACAGAAACAGGTAGGATTTGGAACTGGTCTGTCAGAAGTCAAAGTGTCGGTTTTTATCCTATATACTCTGCTTGGTGTATCATCATCACCAAATAACAGTGACCTCATACACTCATTTGTCACAGTACTTAGCCTGAAAGAAGGGGAGTTAGTTGTCACTGTGACAAAAATACCTTAGGGAAAGCACTGTCAACAAGTGACAATTCATCATATCCCAGGTTGACATTATATCAGATAAGGGATATCCAGAGTTCATGGCTATGTTTCATCTTAGTCAACACTCTATACCCTGGGCCTCTTATTCAAAAACCAAACAGGTTGATTTGCATTGGTAGGTTTTTCTTCACCTCTACTTACTACAGCTATCAAAAAATGAGGGAGGGTATGAAAGAAGATACTATATAATATTGGTAAACTGATAATATCACATGAGTTCAACTGGAATTTTCAAGAGCCTAAGGGTATTTAGGAAGAGTTTCTTTCAAGAGACAGGGGATCTGCTTTTTCATGTTCATTAAACTATGCTGTCTTTCACTGCATATTTACTTTTTACTAACAGAAGGATCTAAATCCAACCAGGGACCCCTGGGAAGCCTCATCAAACCTTACAGTTAAAGACTGGAAGTGAGAACAAAGGCTTCAAGCACTAATCATGCTAACCAAATGTAAAGATGAACTAATCAGAATATAAAGATATAAAATCAAGAATTAATTTAAACAGACAAAAATATAGCTTCCCCCCACTAGTTAAGTGGAATTTACCTTTCATTAAGGTAAAAAGTAAAGTCAAAGGAGGTAGGTAAGAAAATCCCTGCTCCTTCTTTGGCAGGTGAGTGAAGAGTCAATACATTCACAAAAAGATACAAGACATAAGACATCAGAAAGGAGAGTCCTGTGTATATTTCTTGTGACTTATGTGTTTAACTGAGTAATTAATTATTACAATCAGTTTTTTATTCTATCCAGAAGAAAAATTTCTTAAGAAATGTGTGTTTAGTTCTTTACTAAAATGATGTTTTTAATTTTTTCCTCTGTCTTCTATTAGGAAACAGAACACTGACTATTTTTAGGACCCTAAAGATAAAACTTCAGAGTATCACAAATGTCACAGCCTTGAAGGATCAAAAGAAGTCTTGTGGACCCATAATCTCTGCTCAGAATTGGTTATGTCACTAATCTATGCTGTGCCTTGGTTTATATTATACAACTTGAAGGTAGTGTTTGACTGAGGTAAGTATCCTACAAGAGGGCCATGAAAGTACTCTGGGAACACACGGTGACAGGAAGGTGTCTTCTTTGGGGAAATCTACAAAGCCCTGTTAATGCACATGCCATCTGCAGGGTATAGGAAGCAAGGAACAAAGATGAAAAAAAGTGTTACCATGATATCATCAATGCCTGATGAAATAGGGTTATTCTTGCTTCCTGTATGCCACCAGGATCAGGCCAATGCAAGTGAGTATCTTTTAGGCATTTCCCTGACATTCTCTAGAATTTCAAACACAACTCTCCACTCTGTGACTAGAAATATAATCACACAGAAATCTGTGGCACTTCGGATTTAAGACAAAACAAAAATGAAACCAATGCAGCGGTGGTCTTTCTCTATTGAAAGATCAAGTTTATATTCCTGAATGTATCATATGAGGTAAAGGGTCCTACCTACCTTTCTGGTCAGATTCTCCACTTTGTGTCTGCAATGTCATCTACTGAACTTTGCCCCAGGACTTCTTAAAACTTGTAGGATTCCAAGCATTTGCTCGTACCACTCCTACTGCCTCACCTGCATCCCAAGGAGACTTCTACCTCCCACAGGCCTCAGGTAAAGCCCAGCAGATTTCTCTGGGCAAGGCTCCATGTGTTTCTAGGGTATTTTTATACCCCTCTATTCAAACACTTATGTCAATACTCTAAAATCCAGGTTCTGATGTTATGTCCTCTCCCCATCTTCATATTACCACCCAACATTAGCAACTTCTCAACAGGGAGGGTTGTGCTTGATATTGAAGTTTCTAGCACAATTCTTGGCCTGTGGTTCGCCCTTCACCAATAAATGCTTAATGAAACAATTATCACTGACTTCTCCTACATGCAGTATAATTGAAAAGTAATGACCCGCTAGCTTAACAGGTTCTACCCTTTGACCCCAGGATATTGTTTTGGATTATATTTGGCCATATGCAGGAAAGATAAGAAAGTGCCAACTGAAGTAATTATGTATTTTCTGATAAGCAGATTGTAAGCATCCTCTGACCTGTCCATTTCCTCACTCTCTGCTTTTGTTGCATGCTCTCAACAGCCTTTCACTCACCATTCTACACTTCCCATTTTGTTTAGATTGAGTTCTTGGCATTATGTTACTGCTTGGCTTCATAAGACTCTAATGGTCATAACAATTACTGCTACATCATTAACTCATCCCTTGCCATTGTAAATGCAATTAAGGATCAATGATTACACTTGCATGCACAACACTGGAAATGCTAAAAGCCAGTGAACTGTGCACTTTAAGAAAATATGTGATGTGTGAATTATATCTCAATAAAGTTGTTTAAAATGACTCATGCTTTTATTAACATACTGATTAGTGTCCATTGTACACCACCTTGTGTTTTCTCATTCATATGTTATGGAAAGTGAGATCTGGAGAGAAGTTACTTATACAGGACAACCAAGAAAGTTATCGGCAGAGTCAGAATGGAAAACCAACTCTTTTCAAACTTGGTCTAGAACTCATTTGGCTTTTATAATGCTGTATCTACACTGGCACTTGCACAGGCATTTGAGGTAGTTTTGGTGAGTTCTAAACTCATTATAAGGAGACTTTTGACTAAATTATCTAAATTGATTATCTAAATTGCTTTGGGGGGATTAATACTAGGAATCAAACTCAGGGGCACTCCACCATTGAGCTATATTCCTATCCCTTTAAAAAAAATTTTAGATAGTTATGCTAAATTGCCCAGGCTAGCCTCCAACTTGAGATCCTCTGCCTCAGCCTCCTGAGTGGCTGGGTTTAAAGATGCATGCTGCCACATCCATCTAAATTGCTATTTTAATACTGCAACCTTCTTTGGCTATACAGTATTTGTTCCTCTAGAAGAATGAAGAATGAAAATCAGCACCGTGGTGCAGAATGAGGATGGCTTTATTCCTGAGACTCACAAAATATAAAGAAAATTGGGATTTTTGTTTCTTTTTGGTATTCACAAGGAACAGGGAAAAGAGTGGCATTAACTCATTTAAAGTTTGGATTCCAATGCTGGGGGTTTCACTCCCAGCTTTTACTCTACCTTCCATATTGAGTCATGATCCCAGGGGGAAAGTAGGCTGTGTAGCAGCCCCCAGAGTACTGCTCTTCACACCAGTTCTTGTCTTCATAATGCACCGGCTAAAAGGAACAGAAGCAATAGCATCATCACACCATAGAATGACCAGATATGCAAAGCATGATAGCTAGATTCAAAAAAATCAAACACAGTCCAGTAGACTTCACAATGGAGAACAAATTTGCAGTCAACCCTCACAATCTAAAGAGAATCGGTTCCAGGACCCCTCATGGATGCCAAAGTCCCTGAATGCTCAAGTCTCATATAAAATGATGGAGTATTTGCATAAAACTCACATCTTCTTGTAACTTCTAGTCATCTGTAAATGACTTTTAATACCTTATACAATGTGAATGCTATATAGATAGTTGTTGTACTATGCTGTTTAGAGGACACTGACAAAAAAAATGCTGTATATGTTCAAGACAGATGCAATATTTTTCCAAATATCTCCCATTCATGGTTGGTTGAATACACAGATGCAGAACCTGCAGACACAGAGAGCTGGTTGGCCCCACTTCTGGAACAGAACCTTATTATCTTGATGTTTTTGAAGATATATCTTTAAGCAGGTAAATTCCCTTAGTAATAAACTTGTAAGAAATTCAAATTAGAAAAGTTTTCTCAACTGATTCATTCATGTCTTAAATAACAATTATCAACCACAATTATCTATATCCATTTTTAAGTTAGTCTTATTTATTTATTTTTATTTTTTATTTTTTTATTTTAAAGAGGGTAAGATTAAACATAACAAAACAGAACAAAAAAGATCATAAAGAAACAATTTTAAGAAACACAGATTTCAAAGCAAGTCCACTGGAGATCTTCACTGTTTATCTTATCGTCTCTAGTTTTCTTCCAAATAGTTATCCCCATCTTCACACACATTGAATACATACTGAACATTATAGAACTAATCAAATATAACAGGATGATGAAGGCTTTTTAGGCCTTCAAGGCCTGACATTGGGGAACTCAATAATGACTACGATAATGCCTCTCATTCTCTTTGTAGTAGCTGTCCTTATCTTTACGTATGCTGAAATTGAACATAGGAGACTAGACTAATATCACTCTGAACAGTGATTAATAATATTGCTAGATTTTATATCATAATGCTACAGAATTAGCACAGGGTTTCTTAGTGTCTCTTCTTCAGAGTATCTGTTCATCACATCATGCATTATATAATCTGTTCTCATAAACAGTTTAGAAATTCTCCCCATGTGTGAATCTCTACATGTATATCTATCCTTTCTGTATTATAGGGAAAAACAGATCATAACAAGGCAACAAAACAAATTACTAGAAAAATATGAAATGAAAAAGACATATAAAATCACAATATTAGGTGGTTTACAGTAGTTACTATGCTTTCTCTTATTTTCAATAGAATTGTCCACATCATCAGGCATAATATAATTGAACACAGCATTACATAGCTATTTTAATAAAAATACAACTTTGGAAACATTGTAGGACTTCGAAAGCAGTTAATAATCAAACTGGAATGAGTATGTTATTACATCTTGTCATCTTCAGAGTAGTTGCCTCTACTCTTAGACTTGATACTATCAAGCATACCAAATTCGAATAAAATCAGTCAAGGCAAAACAGCGGTCTAACAAACCAACTTCAAATAAGATCAGTTATAGTAAGACAATGTAAGTAATACAGGGCTTCAGTTTAACTTAATAGGGAATTAAGGATAGTTACCGTGGTATATAGCCTGCTATTTTTGGGATATCCATCTGTGTCCTCAAATCTAATATGAGTATACAGACTGGAACAAAATAAAATTAAACTAAGCAGCACAATAAGACTACTGTGACATTTATATCCTGATACACTATTAACAATGTCTTCTGCCTTCCTTTCTTAGGCATTTCCTCACCTTTCCCCTTCTCAGGATGCTTTGCTTATTTTGGGTCCCAGTAGCTCCTTTAGTTTTTAGATTAGGGGGTCAACCCGTTGTCTATCTGAGTGGTGCTGAACCTTTTTACCCCTGGGCTTGATCTTGAGCTATACTCCTTTACTTACCAAAGCCACAAGGTTTTCCTTCCTTTCAGCTGTGTAAAGTTCTACACTTCACAAAAGTGTTATAACTTTCCAACCTATTTGCAGCTGCTAGACGAGTTGTACCTATTTCTCTCTGGTTCCCTGTCACATAGACATTGTTTTCTCATCTTTTAACTTTGTTTATTAACCCTCTTTCATGTTGAGTATATTTCCTATTCAGAGCTTCTCGATGGATCCTGCCTCCTAATCTACTTTGCCTGTGTTTCTTTTTGTTAGTGTATCAAGGCTATCTATATTAAAGATTATGCCTACCTTCTCTGCCTCATCTCTGCTGTTCTATTTTTCTACTATTATTTGTCCACTCTTCTCCTTCATTCCACTGTCTTCCCCATTCATTGAGGCCTCTGCCATTGTTGCTAGAATCCTGGTATTTTTTTCTCTCTCTCTAGAATGTTCTTCAGTATTTTTTGTAGAGTTGGATTGGTGGCCACAAACTCCCACAGGTCCCCCTTGTCTTGGAAACATCTTGTTTCTCCATTAATTTTGAGAGAGAATTTTTTAGGGTAAATCAATCTGGGTTGGAGGTTATTTTCTTTCAGGGCTTGAACTATTTCCCCCCAGGCTCTTCTTGATTTGAGAGTTTATGTTGATAAATCTGTCATTATTTTGATGATTTTTCTTTTGTAGGAGATCTGCTTCTTTTTTCTGACTGCTTTTAATATTCTGTTCTTGTGGTGGATTTCTGGGATCCTGATAATTATATGTCTGGGTGTAGATCTGTTTTGTTTGTAGTTGGTTGGAGTTCTGTATGCCTCATTTATCTGGCTATTGTTTCTTTTTCCTATGCTTGGGAAGTTTTCCTTAATCATTTCTGCAAATAGTCTTTGTAATTCATTTGTTCTTCATTCACGTTTTTTATTCTTAAGTTATAGATACTCTTGTCATCTTCTAGCCTTTGAATTGTTTCTTCCTGGTTCCTTGTTATTTTTAAGAGATCTTTTCTTTCACGATCACACATTATAAATCTCTCTTCAAGTTTTGAAAGGCTATCTTTAGTTTCTGTCAAGGCATTTTGTCAGCTTTCAATGGAGTTTTTAGTTTCCTGGTAATCCCTTTGGATCTGCTTCATGTAATCTAGATTTTGTTTATATTCTTCACCAAAGGTTTCTCTTCCTTTTCTGTGTTCCTCCATTCTTCCATCTGTGTTGCCTTGGGAGGGGCTTAGCATTTCTTTTATTAATCTTTTTATATCTTGCCTCACTTGGATTAGAATTTTAGTTTTAAGTTCGTCTATGAATTCATGAAGGTATTTCTTTATGTCCGCTGATGTTGTGGCTAATATTGCATGAATACTGCACTGGTTCTCTTCTGTATTTACCTTTCCTGGGCTTATTTTCCCAGGGTCAGTGGCTGAAGGTTTTTTCTTATTTCTGTCTCTTGTCATGCTTCTGGTTTCTTTCAGACAGGTCTGTTGTGGAGGTCTCAGGTCCTTTCTGTATTGCTTACAGTTTTTCCAAAGTGTGCTGATTGGGGCTTTGCTGCCCTCTCCAGTTTGCTGTTATCTGAAGTGCACACAGGGACTGTGGGCTAACTGCTCTTCTCTGAGCCAGTCAACCAGCGAGTGCCTTCCGCAACTTAGGCTGTGTTGTGATGGACATCACAGGATCATGACAGTTTCGTCCTTGGCTATTGGGTCCCAGCCAGAGGCATGGCTCAGCCCAAGTAGATCCCACCAGTCCTCTCTGGGCCAGGGGTGGCTGATTGATGCCACCATGGCGTCGGGCTCTGCCCCACTCCAAGATGTCTTCCATCCAGTGACACCCGCCAAGGAACCCAATTTTCCAGCACTCACCGAGAGAATTAATGCAGGTCTCCACCTGGGCTCCACTCCATGCTGCGCTGCATCCTCCCACCAAGGGCCTGGGACTCACCAACTCCTGTTATTGGTGGCCATGTTTTCAGCACGACCTTGAATCACCTGATTCCTCAGCGCTCCCAGCACAGTATGGGATGGAGCTCAGTGAGCACATCGGGCTCCAGCCCTACACGTTTTTACTTCCTCTTCCTACTTTTCTTTTTCCTTCAGTTTCCTCCTGGGTTCGTGAGAGTCCCTTTCCACTCATGTGGCCTTCTCCATGTTGTCAAATTTCAGCATCTGAGCTGTTTTTCCAGAGAGGCTCTCCACCAAGCTACATAACAAGCTGCCATCTTCTCTCAATCTTCAGTTAGTCTTATTTATAAAGAAGTTCTTAGTACTTCATGATTTCAAGAAAAAATTTAAGAAGGACTTAAAGTTACTGGAGAAGTTATATAGAAAAAAAAAAAAGAAAAACATGTTTGTTGAAGAAAAAGCATGACCAGATTCATGTTTTGGTGGAAGTGAGCTTTGTTAAAAGAAGCTGGGCAGATAAATTAGTGTTTTATGGCATGGAGGCACAGCTATTAATGGTTGTACTTTATTGGCTTGGAAAGTATGTTTTTGCCATTGACAGGCAAGACTTACACTGAAATCTTGCAAAATTTAAAATTTTAATAAAAATAGGAACTGGGGAGGTAGGTCAGTGTTAGAGTGTATCCCAGGAATATTCAACAATTTAGGTTCAATCTCCAGCACCAAGAAATAAAACAAAGCAAACAAAAAAACTAAACAGAAACTTTGTCATAAATATACTACTTTAAAAAGATAAAGCCAAGCAAAAATGAAAAAAAAAAGATAGAACATATGGAATTTTAATAGTACTAGTATTTAACACAGATTTTGAAAGATGTTTTGTTTAAAAAATTGTGCAATCACATAGCTGATTTTGAATAGGCTCTCGATGAGACCTTTACAAGTGTTTTTTTTTTTTTTTTTTTTTTTTTTTTTTCTGGTGCCAGGGATCAAACTCATGACCTTCCGTTTGCCAAGTAGGCACTTAGACTGCTGAGCTAAACCCTGAGCCCCTTGCATAGGTCTCTAAAGGCATCCTATTCATAAAGTATGAAGCCCAGCCTGAGGGGTTGCTTGGCTCCAGGCCATTTGCAATGTCACAATACAGGCATCTGCAGCTACTCATTCATCTCTAGCTGTTTGCAGCCAATCAGAAGAAAGGCTGGACTTTTTCTTTCACCTTTCCTTGTTCCCTGGGATTTCTTCTTTTCACACAGTAAATATCAAAGCAAGAATAAAACCAGTGGTTCTCTCTATGCCAAAAGCACGCAAGGATAAAACCAACTCATTTTTTACCATCAAGAATTAAATCATCGGGCTGGAGATTTAGCTCAGCGGCATAAGTACCTGCCTTGCAAGCAGGCGGTCGTGAGTTCAATCCCCGGTACCGATAAAAATGAAAAAGACAAAAAAAAAAAAAAAAAAGAATTAAATCATCTACATTCTTCGTACAAAGAGATTTTCTCTAAGGAAAAATGATCAGCTCTTTTTTGGATATGAGAATAAATGCTTTCTTGCCAAGTAGATTTTTCCAACTGTCTTACAAGTTGCTGGAGGAACTTCAGTTATAAAACATTTCAGCCTCTTCCTATGAGCTGGCAGAAACCATGTGTATACCAGAAAGGGAAACAAGAAGCCAGTTGGCCCTTCCCATGAGCCAGCTGGGCTGGGAGACATGCCCTGCTCCCCTTAAGCAACCAGGTAGTTCAGAGGAACACGGGCTGAGTTGTTAGCAATTGAGTTGTTAGCAACAACTTAGTGCTTATGTTGTTTGATTGACTTTGCAGGCCTAAAGCCAGTAAGAGGATAACAATATGTAATATAGCAAATATGGGTCATTTCTCTCTGTCTTGAAATCCAATATTGTTCTTACTGTTTTGTCTTGTTCCATTTTATTGTTTTGTTTTATTCAGTGTTCTGTTTTGATTGGTTTTATTCTGTCCTATTTGTCTGATTTTATTATGTCTGACGGTATGGGCAGCAATTTTCAAAATAACAGGAGGCATTATGGTAGCTGTTGTTGATTTCCTAGTATCCTGCTTTGAAGTCTTGCATCACTTTCATTGTTTTGGGGGGTTGGCTTTATTTCATTTTATTTGGTTTGGTTTTATTCTTTTTAAAATAAAATTTAAGAAAGAAAAATATATTACAGCATGAGAATTCCTCAGAATGTGACTTCAAAAAGATGGATTCTCTACCAGCCCCTTCATTAGCTTTGTCTCATATTCTGTCACTTTGTATATTGCTCTCCATTGTCTTCAAATGCCTCAAGGATAACTGGATTTAATAACCACTCTTAAAAGATGTCATAATCTATGTCAAGACATTAAAAGCCCAGCATCCTGATAACTGTTATAAGAGCAGCTATTTGTCATTTTAAACATCAATGAAGGGGGTGGTTATGGCTACTGGTTATGATTGGGCCCTATAACTCTCACCAGGTGTCCGAAGACAGAAGCACTTGCTTTGCCTGCCTGCCACGTGAACTCTTTAACCTGCCCACCCTCATCCCACCGTTAACCACTTCAGAGTTCTATTTTATTAATTTGAAGATCACCATTTCCTCAGGCTACTTCCAAAGGTGTCTAAGAAACTCACTGACAGAGATAGGCCCATCCAACTGCCTATCTTCCATCCCTAATGTTGGGACACAAGTGTGGAGTGAGGGTTAGTTTATGTACATGAATGAAATTTTGTCCTTTTACAAGATTGCCGGAGGAAAAGAAAGCTCTTTTTCACTGTCATTCTGGCTGCCAGGATCTAGGACCTATATCGTTAGGGAAGGGGTGAGAAACAGCCTTACCTTCAGAGCTTCTTTAGAGCCAAGGACTTTTGCATAGAGCTCACAAAGTTTCTTTAACCTATGGAGGGGAAACATTAGATAAAAATGAAATGGAAGAAAGAAGACAAAGAAGATATGAGAGTCACTTTATTCTCTTATTTAAAAGAAGACACTAAGCCAGGTACGGTGGCACACACTTGTAATTCTAGCAGTTTGGAAGGTTGAGACAAGAGAATCATAAGTTCCAGTCTAGCCTGGTAAATTTAGAAACTTAGCAAGACTATGTCACAAATTGTTTTAAAAAAATCAAGAAGGGCTGGGCACGCAGCTCAGTGCAAAGGGCTTTGGATTCAATTTCCAGTACCAAACGGTGAAAAAGACTGTGAGCCATGGTTTCCAGTTAGTCACTCCAATTTAAATTTTTAAAACCAATGCATTTTGTTTATTTCAAATATGTTAAACCTAAAGATCACAAATATGAGTGATGCAAAAGTGTTGTTAAATAATAGAAAGTAAAGTGAGACATTGTGAATCACTGGAGACTCATGATATTCTTGGGTCATTTGCAAAATTAGACTATGTACATCTTAAATGTTAGTCCACCTGATAAGCTCTGGTGATTTCTGGTAAGATGAAGATACAGCCCTTGTCAGTTTAATTATCCTCTTACCATGCTGTGAGGCAGTGGGAACAGAAAAAAGGATGGGGAGCACAAAAAGCTGTGATTTCAGCTTGCTGAGCTTCAATTTTATCACATGATTGTTGCATTAATGATTTAAGACTGAAATTCCCAGATCAGCAGCATCAGTATCATCAGAGAACTTGTGAGAAATGACAGTTCTTGGGTCCTGCCCCAGACCTCCTCACTCAGAAAAGAGAGTGGTAGCAGTTTGTGTCTTCACAGACCTTCCAGATGATTCTCAAGTTTGAGAACCACTGATACGAGGTGCTCTAGTCCAATAACTGGTATGTAACAAAGAAATGCTCAATAAATACTGGCTTTTAAAGGTAATGGGAGAATTAGAAATCAACAGTTATAATTAATCAATTAACTTAAGTCAATTAAGTAATTCAGTTCACATAAGATGAGTCAACTATATTTTTGTAAATACTTATTTCAGGCCTGGTTTTTAAAAAATAGTAATGCCAAAGGGTATCTTGAATGTCATTTATAGTTGAGCCAGTGGTCTTTTGTGTTATTATTGTAAACTCAAAAATTCTTTCTACAAGTAAAAGTGTATAAAAATTCTTGATTTCTCCCCTTCCCTTTGCATAATCAAATAGTTTAACATAATCAGAAGATTGTCCAGACAAAGCAAAGAAGTAAAATTGAATTTAGAAAAAGAACCAAATATATAAGGTGATTTAGAATTCATAAAGTTGGGTATTTTATTTAATAAAATGGCACTGTAAATAAATTTTATCTTTTATGTGTCAAATTTATCCATTTTAAAACCATGCTTCTAAATAGCTTATCATATATAATAAAGTTTTCCTTATTCTATAATGTTTTTTTAATCACTCATTTCCATACTTTTCTGGATTCATCTATTATATGAAAATCTTTGACCCTTCTGAAATATATTTTGGTGTGAGAAGCAATGTAGGTGATTGCTTTATTTCCTTCAAGCATAGCCAACTGTCCCAGTGGTAGCATGGCAACACATAACTTGCAGTGGTGAAAACTAATTGCCAGAAGAAACTGCAGCCGCCGGAGAAGTTAGCCCCTTGAACCTATAATGTGTAGTTTTATGCATGGCCCACGCACTGCTCTGCAATGCAGTCACTTTTTTAGTCCTAGGTTATATTCATTCTCATAGTCTCTATAGTTTTTATCATGGTGTCTTATACATAGTAAACTCAATAAATATTTGAATTCTTGACTCTTAAATTATAAGTACAATGTCTTTCTACAAGATCCTTGTAATTAGCAGATGTAACAATGGCAAACATATTATTAGGCAGTCTCTAAGATCAAAAGTTAGGTAAAATTGAAAACCAAGCAAGTAGACAAAAATGAGAAAATGGGGAATTGAGAGGAAGGGAAAAAAGGGAGAAAAGGAAAAAAGGAGGAAAGAAAGGAAGAGAAAAAGGGTTGGAAGGAGTGAGGGAGGAGGAAAGCAAAGAGGAAGGGAGGGAGACAGAGGAAGAAAAGAGGGAGGGAGGCAGGACGGATGGAGAGAGAAGCAATTCTTTTGTTACCTTTCTTCTTTAGTAAGTCGTGCCAGCTTTCTGGCTTTGTGAGCAGCGATGAATCTAAAAGTTACAGACAAGAAAAAGAGGAGAAGTTAATGATTTCTCTTGTCCTGGTCTCACTTCTGTAGTTATACACGTATCTAGTGTACAATGTTGAAAGCATCCAGCGGAAGCAATCTCTACACTAGTTTAAATCATCTTAATATTTCTACTACTGAATGCCACCACCCTGACACTGAAGAGCAGCTTTTAGCTTTGAGTAGTCGGGGATTAAAAGTAAATGAGTGGCAGTGATTTCTGCCTAGGGTAACATGAGGACTGAGCCACCTCCTCCCCACATGGCTGATGGCCAACAGGAGTGAGCCCTGGGTCTCAAATGCCCACTTACGTCTCCATCTGAGCCTTTCCAATTTCATCCAATCCCTGCCCTTTAGTTCCATCTCCACCATGGTCTCCCCTTAGTACCCAACCTCCTAAATTCATTTGGAGTAATGAGGAATCCACCTTCAATAAAGGATTAATACAGCTCCCAAGAGAGTGGATTAGTTCTTGTGAGAGTGCATTGTTACAGAGCAATTTTGACTTTTTCTCCTTGTTCTTTTATTTCTTCTTTTTGCCATGTGATCTCTTTGAATCTGCTAAACTTTTGCTTCACTTTTCTACCACACATGGAATAGTACTAGGCCCTCGCCAGAAGCCAAGCAGTTGCTGGTACCATGGTCTTGAACTTCTAGAACTATGGGCTAAGATAAGCCCCTTTTCTTTATAAGTCACATGGTCTTGAGGACTCTGTTCTAGTAGCACTAAACAGAGTAAGAGAACACCGATGCCCACATTGCCTTCACAAGAACCTGTTTTAGTAAAACATCCCAATTAAGGGCTTTATATAATGTTTCAACACAAAGTGGATTACTAAAATTTATCTACCTTAGTGCTAAATATAACATATTTAAAGTGTTGTTGGTATTCTACTTTTCTAGAAAGGCATTCCTTGGAAGACGCTGAAAAAGAGAAGGAATAGAATTTTTTCTATTGATGGATTTGGAGGATATGTTATTAATTAAAAGAAATTTATTTAACAATGTTTGATACACATTTATTGAAAGCACTTGATTATCCTGTCAACACCAAATACAGCCAGAATACTCTAATAGTGCCTTACCCTATTATGGCGGCATAGCTGCCATCAGGTTTGGTATCATCCATTGTGTAGAGAACAGGAGCTTCCTCTCCTTCAATCACCATGGTTCCACAGAAGTCTTGAAAAATGACAAGATGGAAGAACATATTCACTATCGTATCAAACTACCCACAGCAGTTATAATGAATCACACATTTTTCAACTCAAAAAGCCTTAAAATCAAATATGGCATATTATACTCTGAATGCGTGATATCAAACCAAACCAACAGCAAAATAAGAATTAAGTAGTTAACATTTTTTTTTAAAAACTCAAACTATAAACACTTCTCTACAAGCAATAAGGCAACGTTATGTTCTAAATTAATCATGGCCACTACTTCATGAAATTTGGTTTTCCCTGATACATGTTAATATTTGTGTCCCTATTTTGTCCTTCAAAAGAAATCAGAATACAGGGGTGGGGGTTTAGCTCATCAGCACAAGCGCTTGCCTGGCAAGCATAAGGTTGTGAGTTAGATCCCCAGTACATAAACAAACAAACAAACAAACAAAAAACCCAAAAAAGAAAAAAGAAATCAGAATACAATCAAAGATGTGCAAATGAAATAGTAGTCCATCCTTGCATACAGTAAAAGGAGAGTTCACATTTTATGCGGAGCCACATTTTTTGTTTGTTTTTTTGAGATGGGCTTTTGCCCAGGCTGGGCTGGAACTCCTGGGCTCAAGTGGTCTTCCTGTTTCAGGCTCTTGTCTAACTGTGACTATGGTTTTATCACATGCCTTGCCACCTATTCTATGTGAAGTATTTTTGACTCTCAGCAAAACAGGGCTGAGAGGACATGGAGAACTAAAATTCATAGCTTCCCAAACCCTAATTTTAAACATGACCTCCAAAACTCCCTTTTCCTCTCAGGAGCAATTTGGAAAACAATGTCAGTTCACTCTGGATAGAAGTGCTTCCCTCACTCCCATCCTGAAAAAATATAGTTGGGCATTTGAATCCACATGTGTGGATTCAAATCTAATTGTGGGTAGAAATACTTAAGAAAAAATTATATGCATACTGAACTTCTATGGACTTTTTGTCATGATTCCCTAAGCAATATAATATGACAACTATTTAAAGAACATTTACATTGTATTAGATATTAAAAGTAGAGATTATTTAAAGTATTGGTGGGGGAGAGTATGTGTTCTATGCAAATACTGTACCACTTTATGTCAGGAGCTCAAACATCTGAGGATTTTGGTATCCATGGAGAGTCCTAGGTCTAACACCCCAAAGATGCCAAAAACGCTGTATATATAATTTCAACAAAAGACTGTGACAAAGTAATGGTGGAAATGTCAGTCCAGAGTCTAAAAGCTTATAGTAACACCCTACTGCAGTGTGCTCTTCCTACTGTCACATCATTTAGGTTATTTGCACAAAATCAGGATGGAAGAGTTTGCATAGAAGTGTTAACAAAAGGGTTTCAAACTAAGGAAGAAAGAACTTTGCAGGAACACACCTCCCTGACCTGTGAGCAGTCACATCTAGAGGCCTTTTAAACTGCACTCACTTCTCCTCCTATGTGTCTCCCTACTGAGCACCTATGAGAATCCACGCCCTTTCATCCACTGGCACTTGCATGCCCCTTGGGTAAGCTGGGATAGGAAAGACACGAAGAAAGTCTTCAACATAGGAAGAGAAAATGTTCCAAGTCTATGCAAGAACTTAAGAATACAAGAGAACTAGCTAAAGAATCACCTGTTATAAGAAAACAGCAAAGAGGGAGGTGACACACGGTACAGAATCTCATCAGAGAAAAGAGCAAGTGTACATTGGTTGTGTAAGGATCACTGAGAGGATGAGGGTGAGCACAGGAGGGCCGGGGGGAAGCACTGCTTTCTGAATGTAGGAGCTGTTTGGATGCATCCTTCATAGAGGAAAGATAGCCTCTGAGCCAGATACCTCAGAAAATGTGAAGTAATGCGAGGCAGAAAGAAGAGTCATATGGAACCATGCAACATCAGTATGATTTCCATAACTCCCAGAGGGAAAGTGCAGGGGCCCTGCCTGCCTATGCACCCAGAGCATCTGACAGCTAGGCAGGGCCACCCACTTAAGAGGACAAGCAAGGACATCCAGATATTTAATAAAGTTCTTGACAATAAAAGTAAGTACAAAGCAGAAACAAGCAGTGAACTAACCAATCCTTTCTCTCTTGTTAGTTAATATCCCTGAGATTTTCGTTACTATTGTATATTAATGTATTTATTCAACTAATAGCTATTGGGCAGCATTACAAATCCAAATGCCCATTTTCTAGTCCAGATAATTCAGTCATGGGAAGAAGATGTAATATAAACTAGTAGTTATATAACAATATACTGAATTCTGGGCACTTATAGAAACACAGAAGAGAGCTCCAAAAGCCATCCTACATGATTCTTGTTACACTGGTAGCATTCAGTAATGCATATTTGAGGAAATCTGTAATGAAATCTGGTTGTCTCTTACAACAGGGCATCGGCATTGCATGCAGCTGTCGACATCACTGTCAAAGATACTGTAGTTAATTACAGGTTGAGCATCTCTTATCACTAATGTTTGAGGCCAGAAGTATTTTGGATTGGGAATTTTCTTGGATTTTGGAATATTTGCACATACTTAAACAGTTACCTTGGGGATGGGACCCAAGTCTAAACATGAGATTTACTTGTTTCAATTACCCTTAGACCATATATATATATGGTCTAAGGGTAATTTCAGGTAAAAGGTAGATATGATCAAACACATTACATGTATTTGTGAAAAGGTCACAACAAAACTGATTATTTTGTACAGTTAATATGCACAATTAGAATAAAAATAAATATAATCACTTCAGATCAAAAACAAAATTTTCATGGTGTAGAACTTTCCACTTGTGACACCACATGGATGCTCAAAAAGTTTCAGATTTTAGAGCATTTCAGAGATTGGATTTTGCAGTTACAGATACTTAATACGTAGTGGTAACTTAAAAGAAATCTCAAATGCTTGAGTGGGGCTATGCAATATCTATAATCATTTTTTAAGTATTACTAAGTTTCATTTCCAACAAGGACCAATTCATATCTGGTTCTTTCATGAGAGGAATTTGGGCTTTCTTTTTGATATCAGGGACTGTTTGCCTGTCAGATGGCAAATTTAACACAGAGGTTTGCAGACATGAATGAAAAGTTTGAGATTCTCTCCACACATCAAGGCATTGATAGTCATTAAGAGAAAAGCCTATAGTCCTCCTCCTACACCTCATCTACTTGCCACTAGTCAGTCAATCAAAAGTGGGACCTGGATGATCACAAATGTAAGCAACTCTGCACCAGTGTGTCACTGACATTCAAATCAGAAACTAAAATGGCAAGCTCTTTACAATGGGTCCTCTACAAAGTGGAGTTACTTGTGCAGGCAATGCACCAAACCTTGTTATCCATGGTTATCTCACAGGGAATTAGAAGCCTGTGATGTGACTGAAAAATGTTACCACAGGTAACACTGATACAGGTGAAGGATTGATTCCACAATATCTGTAGATACCAAAATCTGTCAGTATACAAATTCCCTATATAAAATGGTGTTGTTATTTGTATATGATCTAAGCACACTGCTCCATATATTTTCAATCATCTCAAGATTTCTAATTATACCTAATAAAATGTATGGTAATTACTCTGTAAATATTGTTATACTTAATTGTTTAGGGAATAGTGGCAAAAAATCCTTACATTTCTGTATAAACACATTTTTCCAAATATTTTAGATACATAGTTCATTGAATCCACAGATGCAGAACTTGTGGATAGAGGGCCAAATGTACAAAGGAATACTACCCACAGGCCAAACTGTGAATCTGTCTCCATTTGCTTTCAGCACAATCTTCTCCTTTCTCCTGTCTTTATTTTTATTTCAGCACACGCTGCCCTTTGCCCTCAGTCTCAGGGACCAAATGTTCTTATCTTGGTCTCTAATTTAAAGAAAAGTAAGTGTGGTCAGAGTAAATATGTTAGGACTCCAGCATGGTGCTGTCATATCCAGTAACTACTAGTCAAATGTGGCTGCATACAATCACATTTAAAGCAGTTGAGTCCTCAGCATCATTAGCTACACTTCTGATGTTCAGAACCCACATGTGAGTAGTGGCTAGTGGATTGAACAGAGCAGATCTAGAGCATTCCTGTCTTGCAGAATCCAGCACTTCTGTGAGAATCCCATATATTGTTTTACCAGGTAAGACAATCAGTAATAGCACACTTGATGATCACATATAAATGCATAAATGGCTTTCATTTAATGTAGTAGAATCTTGACACTAACAAGAAATGGCCTTAAAAGTTTTAGAATCCTCATCTTTGTGAATGCCTTTATAAGCTCACACTTTAAAAAACTTGATCAGAAAATTCTAATCATCTATTTGCACAACAGTTTGTGAGAATATTAAACTCTATATTAAATTATAAAAAGAGTGGTCATATACCAAGGAAAGTTAACTGCATGGGTTTGTGCCAATGTATTTTATTGGAGAAAATTTTATTTGGGGAAAGAATTGTACTATGGCCAGAATTCTAATAAAAATGGTTACATGCAAATGTAGGTCCTGACACCAAGCTTCTTGGGACCTCCTTCCTTCTCCTAAAGGTCTTTGTGTAAGGAAAATGCTTACCCATTTTCCTCCAGAAAGGCTCTTTATAATAGACTATGCACTTGATGACTGAACCCAAGGGAACACGGGAGACAAGCTGGTTTTTCATCATTGGCAGAGGAGGTTTGAAGTGAATCTTCATGCCCAGAGCAGGAGGAATAGCACTAATCACATATTTAGCCTGAAATAAAACATTGTGCTTAAATATTATTGGTGTGTTTTAGTTTTTCCCCAAAGGCAAATTTGAGAGTAGCTTGGGCTATGAAGTGAGCTCAAGGCCAGCCTGAACTGCATAGCAAGACCGTGTCTCAAAAAAAAAGTTAAATTAAAAAAAAATATTTAAAAAGAAAATCCCTCCCCTCCCCAATAACCTTGTTCCACTTTCCTTTCTTTCAAATACAGTTAGCGTTTTGTCAAGTCATCTTTAAATTCTGGAATATCCTTGATTTTATTTAAGCTTTGGTTACCTGTAGCACTGTAGCTTCTTTTTCCCAGTTTAAGGATCTTGGTTACCTCATAAATTTCATGGTTCAGGGTCTCCACGAGGACACTTTCTCCAGTCTGGTCAATGTAGACCACAGGTCTCTGTAACTTCACTCTGTCCCCAAGGAGATTCATTATCCGCTCACTTATTTGACCAGATCCACCCACAAATTTTCTCTCCTGGAAAAAAAAAACTGTGAGTAGAAATTATGGCTTGTGTTTATATGTCCCCTCAAATCCTCATGTGGTTGTACGTGGGGCTTTTTCAGAGGGGGCTGGATCTATAACGTGTGATGCTGGAATTGATACATGGAGCAATACTAGGATCAAGGATACTAGGATTAAGGACAAATAGCCTGGATAAAATACAAGGGACAGAAAGATCTGTGGTCATTTCTTATTGCTTTTGTTGTCTTCTGCATACAATGAACTGTTTCTCCTCTGTGAGGCCACTCTGCCAAGCCTCTCTGCCTTGGAGTCAGTCAACTACGGACTGAACCTCTACAAACTGTAAGCTAAATAAATCTTCACCCCTTTAGCTTTGAGTCTTGGGCATTTTATCTCAGCAATGAGAAAAGTAATCACAACAGTGGAGAAACACAGGAATGATCATTAACTGACTAAGTGTTTAGTTCTCTCTTTTTCTCTTTACTCCGAGATATATAACATTGCCTTTTACTGTTGTGAACCGTTACTTGGTAAGGTCTGCTGACTTTGGGCAAAATGACAGGTTTTCTAAGTCACCTTCAATGCTATGCTCTCCGAGGCTGAGATTCATCCTCACTACATAGGCTCAGAACCTTCATGCCTCTGCATACCCTATCCCCAGGCTAGACTCCTCCTGTCACTGGCTGTCCATCTGACCTTGAGTCAGGTACCTGCTGTTCTACAGTGAGGTGGTCAATTCACCTCACTGCACCCACCCACCCTGAGCCTAGCTTCCAAACACCCCAAAGCAACAAACGTTCTACTTGGCTGTGCACATGCTTGAGCATTCTCTTCTTAAATTTTCAGTTAAGCTAATTTTTAAAAAGACATTGTCAAAGGAAGGAGGTAGAGAAAAAGAAGAGGAAAGGTAGGAAAGGGAGAGGGAGTAGAGAAGGAGGAGCTAGGAACTTGAGACCATGTCTAGCACTGCTCCTTATGCAATTCCAGGACTGGCACTGACTTAATAGATGGAATGAGGGCAGTGAATGTCTACCTGGCCTCCATTGGTTGTTGAGATGATTCTGGTCGTGCCCCCACACTGCTTCACATACCACAGGAACCAGAGAGCGGAAACTTCATGGGTCTCGGCAGTGACACACAGGTTTACAAAAAGAGTGCCAAACTGCCTTGCAGAGCTGCTCAAGAAGAAACAAAGTAAAGTTGGTAAATGCAAGAGATCTTCTTAATCATCTAGAAATTATTGAGATAATATATTGTCTTGGCAAAGTTTAGCGAAATTTGACAAATTGCAGGAAAATGTCACTAGAATCTGATACAAAGCATGACAACAGATATTTGGGGGCTATGAGGTTTACTTCCTCACTAAGTGAAACACTTCAGTGAGAATCAATTTCTTTTCTAACCTTCTGCAACTATGATTTGTCCCTACACACCTGCTGCTGGTCTTCCAGAGATCCCATCTCGGTAAAGGGCATTAAGTGGTTAAAGCCAACACTTAGAAAACAAGTTTAATCTCTCTCTGTCTCCCCTCCGCCCATCCAATCAATCAGAAAATCCGGTCGTCCTTCATCACATCACTCTAACTTCATCACCACTGATTGAGCATCACAACTATTTCCTCTAGGCTGGTCTCTCAGCCTTCACTCATCCTTACCTAGAATCCACTGATTACATGAAAAGTCAGATGATGGTTACCTCCCTCTGCATCATGATGCTCTTTCTCAACCCTAAGTCAACTCACGTTAGTCTCTTGCTTAAAACCCTCTCCTGCCATCCCATTAAAGCAGAATAATATTCAATAATATAATATTTTACCATGGCTTCCCAACACGAAGTAATGCAGCTGGTGCATACCTTTTTTTTTACTTCATCCTATATCCCCTCCCATTTATTCTAATGTTTCCTGAGAAAGATGCACTCATCCATCCACGCAAACAAGTACTCTATACTCACAGAACCCTAGCATTCTCTGTCATCTTACCATTGTATACTATCTTTAGAAGTTTTTTCAATGTCTAAAAGTATCTTCATTATTGTGGGCTTTTCTTTTAGTTACTAAGGAATGAATCCAGGAATGTTTTGATTCTGAGCAATATCCTCAACTTTATTAGTAAATTTATTGGTACAAATTAGGTATACGCAATGATCACACTTATTATAGTGATTTTGTACCCATACATAACATACCTTGATTTGTCTTTTCCCCTTTCCGTTCCCCTCCCTCCCATTAACCTCTCTTCCCTTCCTTATTTACAAAGCTTTGTTTCCATTTTATCTTTTTCTTCTCTTTTTTTCTTTTCTCCTCCCCTGCCCCAGTTCCCCTTTCCTTTTGAACAATTTCTTCCCATTTCACTATATCTCTTATATGATTAGGTTCTTATTTATACTTTCAGGTTCCCACAGTAGTGAGATAATGTGATATTCACATGTGTCCATTTACTTCACTTAAGAGTATGGTCTCAAGGTCTATCCATTTAGCAATAAATGTCTCAAGTTTATCGTTCTTTATGGCTGAGTAGTACTCCACTACAGAAAAGTATGACTCTTTTTAGCCATTCCTCAGTAAATGGGCATTTAGGTTATTTCCAAGGTTTGAATATTACAGAATGTGCCACTATAAACATAGGTGCACACATATTGCTGTGGTATAATGTTTTTAATGCTTTTGTGAAAATATCAGGAAGGGGAATAGCTGGGTCAAATGAAATCTCTAGTCCAAGTTTTTTTTTAAGGACTCTCTACAGAATTCCAAAACGATTGCAGCAGTCTACACTCCCACCAACAGTAGAGAAGTGTTCCTTTTTCCACACAGCGTCACCACCATTTCTTATCAGTTGATTCCTTCATGAGTGAGATGGGATTTCAGTGTTGTTTTAATTTGCATTTCTCAAATGACCAGCGATGTTGAGCATTTTTCATAAATTTATTTGCCATTTATATTTCTTCATCTGAGAAGTGTGTAATTATCTCAGATGTCCATTTTTTGATTGGGACTTTAAATGTGGGCAGTCTGATTTTTTTCAGTTCTTTTTATGTTCTATACAATTAGTCCCTTGTCTATGGAACAACTGGCTAAAATTTTTTCCCACTCTGTGGGTTGTCTTTTTACTCTGTTGGTGATTTTTCTTTTCCTCTACACAACTTTTTAAAAATAAGATAATATCCCAGTTGTTGATTGTTTGTAGTATTTCCCATGTGATATGGGTTTTGTTTATGAAATCTCTGTCTATACCTATATCTTCAAGAGTTCTACCTACTTTCTCTTCCAGCAGCTTTAGTGTTTCTGTTTTGATATTCAGGTCTTTGGCCCTTTCTGACTTTAGCTTTGTGCATGGTGATAGACATGTGCCCAAACTCTTTTATTTTTTTTTCATTTTGAGACAAAGTCTCCCTCAGTTGTCCAGGCTGTCCCTTGGACTGGCGATCTCCCTATCTCAGCCTCCCAAGTATCTGGGATTATAGACATATGCCACCATCTCTGGAAATTTATTTTTTATTACTGTTTCTCACACCAGAATATCAATTTATGAGAACACAAACCTTAACTTTCTCACTCTCGGTAGTGTCTCCTTTAACAAAATAGTTCATGCCACATGGTAAGCACCCAATAGTTACTTGTGGAATGATCAATGAATGAATGATAATACAAGTCAGTTAAGCATTTTAAAAACATTCATAATGCACAAAAGACATGTTAGGTGCTGTGCCAAGCACAAAAATTAGTTACAATGTACTTTTTATTTTGCTCCCAACAGAAGACAGGTCTAAAGGATGGATGAGGAGAAAAGTGGTACATAAACCATAGATGCATGAACTTTTGCTTGTGTCTTAGAAGGTAAATAGCTAAAAGTTTTATCCTACCAAGAAGTATACCAAAAAGTGAACAATCCCACATAATTTCAAGAACTCAGTAATATGTAGCATACCCTAAATTTTACCTTAGTAATGTGCACTCTAGGATATTTTTGATAAAGACTGATTTCTCTTAACTTTTATGTGAAGTTTGCATGTTGCTTATCTAGTTACACTTGGGGCAGAATTTTTTAGATGGTAATGATAACAATGGATAGCTACCATCTTCCATTTGTTGAATTCTTTCTACACTTCATTGTCTTCAAACTTTTATCTTATTCAATTATTGTAAGATTCCTGTAAAATGGCCATTGTTTCTCCCCAGTTCACAAGCCAGAAACTAAATCTCAGAGAGTTCCATAATACATAGTTACAAAACTCAATAGTACAATTTCAAACCAGATTGTATCTGACTCAAAACTCAAAATCCTTTTAATTAGCCAATTGACAACCTTCCAAGTGCAAATATTCACCAAAGGACACCTAATTATCCTACTGTATCTTGAACCTGGAAGTTTGTAAGACTTTGCCTAACACGCAGACCAGTTATCAACAACGTCTGCAGTTCTTACAACCCAAAAACACTTTTGTAATAGTTCCCATCTTTACAGTCTGAAAAATGTTGTCACATTTACTTTGAAGTTGCTTTGAGTTAGTTTTGTAAGATTCCCCATGATAGCTGAAGGGATGGAAATTGCCATGGCAATTTGTGGTATCTATTTAAAGCAACTATCCACATATTGGTTTAAAAATATTACTTCAAGGTGAAAGATACATTTTGTTGTTTCCTGATATCTTATTTCCTTCATTCTTTATTTTACGATTGAATTTTGGGTATGAGGTGTAATAACTAAATGTAATGTGTGCTCAGGTAGATAGTCAATATTAAGCATAAAATATTGCTGATATTCTAGTTGTTATTGTTGCCAATTTGATGGGAAGGAAATAATCATAGTTTGAAATGAAGGAACATCTTAAAGTACAGTTATACCACCCAAGTATGGGGGTCCACAACTGTAAATCTGGTATTCTTTAGAGGCTGAGACAGGAGGACTGCATGGTTGATCCCAGCCTGGGCAATCTTGTGAGATCATATCTCAAAATAAAAAGGTTGTGGATGTAGCCCAACCACAAAGAAAGTAAAGTTGTCTCCCCTAATCAATAAGAAATATATTCCAGAACTCCTGTGGATTATGAACCTCATGTTATGTTTTTTCTATACATAATAAGACAAAATTTAATTTGTAAATTAGGCACAGTAAAAGATTAATAATAACTAATAATAAAATAGAATAATTTTAACAAATACTATAATAAAATTATGTAACTATAATCTTCTCATAAAAGAAATTCTCATGAAAGAAATTCAAATGGAGGCTGACCAGGAATATCTGAAATCACAAAAAGCCAAACCATGGATGGGGGAAGTTGTAATTCTCTTTGGAGGGCAAGTCTATTTCTAATCATTATTCCATTCACTCTGGGAGCTTTAGTAAGAAAAGAAGTGAGCTGAACAATATTTAAGAGATAGAAAGTCAAGAAAGCTAATGTAATATTTTTGTATTTTTGCCTTATTGACATTTTGAAAGACAAACATTATAAAGTTTTCTACATGAAAAATATGTGCATATTATATAAAATTTTTAAAAATTCATAATAGAATGAGAGGATGAGTATTGTTATTTTGGTTTAAATATGAAGCATCCCCCAAAGGTTCACATATTGAGAATTTGATCCAAAATGTAGCAATGCTTCGAAGTGAGGCCTACAAAGGTGACTGGATCATGAGTGCATTACCTTATCAATGTATTAATCACACTGAGTTCATTAGTTGAATTCCTCTCTGTCTTTCACCTCACTCTCTGCTCCCCAGATGTCATGATGTAGCCAGCTTTCCTTCCATACATCCTTCCATCATGGTGTCAGATGGAGCCAATCGATTATGTACTGAACCCTCCAAAACTACGAGTCAAACATCTCCTTTATGTTGTGTATGTTAGGTATTTGGTCACAACAACAAAATGTTGACCAAATACGAGTATACTTCATACTGTAGTTCCCCAAGAATAGGACCTAACTGGAAAATAAGCCTTAGCATGATTATTTGGGATACTAATAATATAAGCCCTAGTTAAGATCATCAACCAGATGGATGCATTTAGTATATCCACTGCAATACATAATGATATATTGGATTATAAAATAATATTAATATATAATTAAGAATAAATAAACAATATTAATATTAAACTTTAAATATAAATTATAATGAAGTATCTATAAATACCCAAGCAGGCACTTTGGCTAAGAAGTAAATGCCTAT